TTTTTTTTTTTTTTTTTTTTTTTTTTTTTCCCGAAGAATTCTTTTTATCATCGGTAAACGTTAAATTTGCACAGAACACAATTGACAGCAAAACATTTATCAGCCTTCTTTCCATGGCTCGTTGCAATTTTCGCAGGCAGCTATTCTGTAGTTGCATTATTTGGACATGGAAAACAAAAAAAAAAAAAAACAAAAACTTGAAAGAAAGAACCGAAAAAAGAGAATTTTCTTTTTTTCTTATCCTCTTTCTTTTTTCTCCTCCTTACTTTTTTTTTTTCAGTTTAAATGCATTAAAAGTTCTTTTCCTCTGCGATTATTACATCCGTATTTTGGTTGCTTGTTCATTTCTTGCTTTTTTTTTATGGGGAAGGAGGGGGGGTAGTTTCGTTTTCGTTCTTTTCTTTTCTGAAAGGCCTCTATATTTGGGTAAAAAACCCCATTGAAACACTATTTTGACACCGGTTACGTGATTTAAAAAAAAAAAAAAAAAAAAACTATGTTTCTGTAAACAACAAAAATATTTATAAACATATCACCATATAAACATATGGACACCCAGGCACACACACATCTAACATTCGGGAACACACAGCAGTGAATGTACTTCTCTTACGGTAACTCTTCACCAGGTTGATAGCTGCTATTCTCGCTATCATTGTAGCGCAATGAAGCCAAAAATAAAGCTTCTGAAGCCATTTGCTGTGTCACTTGATAACATGAAACGTTTTTTTTTACTACTATTGTCGTTAAACGACAACAACTTATTGGTGGGAAACAGTGAAAAAAAGACACTGCAGCGAATCCGATAAAGGAATTAGTTAGAAGGGAGGAAAAAGCGGGGAAGAAAAAGAAAACATACATTTAATTGGGGGTAAAAAGTGTGCTTTTTCAACTTTCAATTAAGTTTTTTCCCCATTTTATTAGCTGTTGTTCGTTTGCTAAGTATTTCAAGAAAAAAAGAGAACAATTTCTTGTTGTTTTTTTCCTTAATTCCATTCATTTTCATTCATTCGTTCACTTACTCATTCATTCATTCACCCATTCATTCGTCCGTTCACTCATTCACTCATTCATTCAATTCCTTTTTTTCCCTCATTCTTGCCTTGAGTTTCAAACATTACTCCAGCGGATTATTTTTTTTATTCTTTTGGCTGTTACTACCATTCATAGGTGATAACAGCACCATCAGCAACAGCAGCCAAAAATAGGAGTGGGAGTAGAAAGGAAAAAAAAAAACAAAGGAGGAAAGGAGGAGAATTTGTTAGAGAGAAAACTGAACCTCAGCTCCGTTGTCGCCGTCTTCTATTCCGTAGTTGGCTACTGCTGTTGTTTTCGTCAGCAGGAATAACTCTGTTGCTCTCCATCAATCGTTCGTCTGTCCATTCCTTCCTGCGTCCCTCTTATCCTGCCTCCTTTTCTTCTTCTGTCTACCACTTTCTTCCCCTCCGTTGCCCCTCCCCAAATACTTTCAGTTTTTGAATTTGGTGCTACTTTTTTGTTTGCTAGCTTCCACTGATGGTGTGCTCTCAGCAACTGCCGTTGCTGTCTTCTGTTAGCATTCAGCTTTTGTGCTTATGTTTTTTTAAACCATCCCTAAATAGGCATTTCCACCGCATCAGCCAATACAGAGCAACCCTCTCACTCATTCACGCACTCACTGAGACCCAAATTCATAC